ATCTTTGCTTTCCTAATATCAATTACTGGAACATGGTACATATCTACTTTTTCCACGACCTGCCAAACTCAGTCAAGGTTTCTAACATCAGTCACCATCTCAATTATATCACTGACTAAAACAGTCAGGAGGTGCAAGATGACTGTATAAAATAGGAGTTCTATTCATTCTAAATGATGCACAGAAGGCTGCCAATCTTCTCTTTGCCATCAGCTGAACGATACATTAAGAACTTGGCAGACTAGCAAAAAAACTTTAGATCAGACAGATGCGGGCCTCTATACAGAGGAAAATAAAGAATGTAAACATAAGTTTTCCTTCCCCACCATAAGAAAGTACTAATTCAAGATGATGCATGCTTTTTTGCAAATAAAACTAGCTATGAAGGAGCTTTAAGGAACTTTCCATTTGCTCTAGTTTGCCACTTTCCAGTGGATGGCAGACATGTATGGCAAATTAAGTTGAATCACTTATTTTTTGCTCTTGTGTAACTGAACAAGGCAGAGATGAAGAGGGAAGTGGCCAAATTGCAGACAGTACACATGCATCTTCAGTACAAGACCATACTGGAGATGACAAGCAGAAAACTGTCACCATCTTCAAGGAATAAGTGAGGCTCATGGCCCCTGAAGAGAAAGACAGCAAAGAATTGCAGAAACACAAGAGGAGCACCAATACAAAAAAACTCAATGTATGCCAAGTAATTTTTAGATATGGAAAAAACACTTAACTTGTAGTCATCAGTTTACTCCTCTAAGCCGAACAAAGAAAGAGCACTCTCACAGGGCCTTGGGAGATTCTACTCAGTGCACTCAAGCTATTAACAATGCAATGCATGTATGGAAAGAAGGTGATTTCCCAGAGTGACTAACATAGCTTTCTAACTATCCTAAGTTGAAAAAGAGGCTTGGAGCTATTTTTAGTTGACACTGAAGGGCACCAATTTACACTCAGACTTCATATTTTTATTCACTCCAAAATCTATTTTCTTTTAATTTAAAGAAGATGTTTTAGATTTTATTTAAATTATAAGTGTTTCTTTTTTAAAAATAAACCTATTTAAAATGAAATATGAATTTACTACAAAATACATTACAAGCTGCAAATGTAGCAAAGATGAGAAGAAATCCAGAAGAAAATGAAGGTAACCTGAAAACTTATAACATATGGATTCAATGCTCATTTGACTAAAATACAACTCCAGGAATAAAGGAAAACATTGAAATTGCAAAATACTTCTGTAACAACCACTTTGCTTCAGTTTCACTGAAAAGAGAAGAAGGATCCAAACTAATTCTACCCAAGATATGCACTTGAATTCAGTGGTTGACTGTTCTGAGCCATTTATTAAGAACTGGTCTATTCTGATGATAATTTGCAAAGAGAATCATGACAAAATAGATGGAACTATAACAGCCAAAGTGGTCCTAATCAGCCTAAAGGGAAATGTATAAGATATGCTGAATATACAGAAACTTATTTCCATATTATTTGGCAAACTGTAGAAAGATTGCTGCTGTATTGCTGAGGCTGTTGAAATTTGGAAATAACTGAGGCATTGAAGCAAGAAATACCCAACAAAATTAAATTGCAAGACGTAAAGAAACAGATGGATCAAGCACTTACTACACCTCATTTTTTTGCTAATATTCTCAACCCAAAGTACCAAGTAGATGCCTAACTGCTGAAGATGCTGGTATGACATGGACATCTAAATTACCTATCGGTCATGCCAACCATAATACATTTCAGGGCTGGAAGGTGTCCCATTCAAGCAGTACACGTTTGCTGATGTTTTAAAGAAAGTCACACCACTGAATTGGTGGAAGTCACTAGCTAAGCACCTGGAACAAGAGTTTGTTGACATGCGAAACCAGTTTCTGACAGCATGGCCCCTTCTTCTGCAGGCAAAAAAATAGTATTTTCTTCACTTGGACTAATCCATTCAAAGTTGATAAATCAACTGAGTTGAAAAAGCAGGAAAACTTGCCTCTCTTCCAGTCTATGAATAAAAATGAGGAGGGAGAGATGAGATCTACTAGGCTGAAAAATATGAAGAACTGTAATTTAGGAGGCTGTCTTCTCATTTTCAGTAGACTTAGGTGAGTAGGAACCTATGCTCCAGTCCCTTTCACTAAGGCATATTTGCTTAAATTAAATGTATATACTTATACATACCCCTAGGTAGCAAAAAGATGTACCAAATCTTGTGTAAAGGCTCTATTTAGTTGTAAACCAACATGCTTTAATGGTTATATTAACCAGTAATAATACACCTTTCTTGGAAAGTTACAGAAGTACAAATGGGAAAATTGATTAAAATCTATTTAAATAATCAAGGCTTTTCACTTTGTGATTTAAATCAGGATATAAAATCGCCCTGATTTACTTCAAGACATCCTACTAGATTCGCTCCTTATATTTCCCCAAAATGATCTGACTACATTACTCTACTAAAAACAGCCATTTAGTGGCACAGAATTACTTGGAACTGCAGTTTAGGCTTGGTACTGTTTCGTCAGGGAGGGAAGGAGAAAAATTAGCAGCAAGAGAGAAATATGTTTGTTTCTTCGCTTAAAAAAAATGTTATCTTTACTTCCAAATACAAACACCTAGGATATACATTAGAATTCAGGCTTCCATCTAACACTGGAACATATCTTGTTATTCAAATGCAGAACTAACTAATACTACAAGAATTTCCAATAACTTATTTACTCACTCAAAAGCTATAAAACCATTAACAGTTGGGAAATAAATCAGGACCAAATATTTGGGGGTTTTTTAATCAAATTGTTTCCTACATTCAAAAACTTGTCAGTAATAGTTACAGTTAACCGTTTATGCTATTTACAGAATATATCTTCTACTAGTACACAATGAATCCCCAACAGTATCATGAGAACAGTTTTTAGCCTAATCACTTT